ATAAATCAGAAACTCGAACTAAAAAAATTGTTTTTTGCCACATTTACAAAAAAAAGTAATGTTTTTTTTTTGTGTAATGTACTTTTTTTATTTTAAATATAAGTTTGTTTTATATGATTTTTTATCCACATTACAGTAATGGGACATATATGTCCCATGTTCTATCTAAGGATGCAAGGGACAGACAACAATGTAAAAAAAAACAATCGCTTTGTAAGATCTCTAGGTATCAACGAATATCATTAAAGTCATTTTAAACAGCTTTATTGAACAGCTACAATGAAATCAGTAATGAAAGGGTTAATGTTTTTTGCTGATGTTATAAAAAAAATTAACGTTTTTCATTTGGTAATTTTTAAAAACAATTGCACCAGCACTCAGCTGCTTGAATAATTACTTCTATGGAATCGATAGTCGATAGGTCGAGTACCATTTAGTTAGTCGATTTTATCCATTATATTATAACAGCAGTGTACACTCGATGCCATCTCTACCGATTCGACAGTATATCTACCGAAAAGACCTAATTCTTCGATACATTTTACCCAATATTCGGCTGTTTTATGTTATCAATGAAGTTCTTCAGAATAACGATCGTAGTAGAGAGAATAATAAGTATCGTTTGGGTAATTTCCATTCTCCATTATTTATTTTTGTCTGCCTATTTGTATCTCAATAATAATAAAGCTAATATGGGATGTAGAATAATAACGCCCACTGTATAATATAAGTCCATTATGTCTATCCATCTCATATATAAACTGGTCTTTACAATTAATCTTATGGAAATAAATATCTAACTCGGTTGGATAATATATTATTGTACACTTGCAGGACTGAAATATATCCCTTAATCCCTTCAAAAAGGGATTAAAAAGGTATATTTAATCCATAAGGCCTAAAATATATGCTGGAACACGTAACCGAAACATAATTGAATTTAAAAAATGTTATTTTCTTATTTTTAATTTTATGAAAAAAGTTATTCTTTGTAAAAAGTTCTAAATGATCTAAAACCTAGAAAACAATTATCAGAGATTAAATTTTTTTAGTCTTAAGGTCACATCAGTCACGTCTCGTCACAGTCCTGGCGCCGTACCGAACGATCCGTCATACAAAATATTCCTTAATAGAAATATGGCGCCGGCATTCACATTCATCAGGCGACGAACAGTTTACCAGCTGTCAGATAATTAATAGGTAAAGAAATAATAAATAAGACTTACTCACAATCAATTTAATTTAACTATCAGACGACCGGTTTCGCTTTCTACAATATGCAAAGCATCTTCAGGTCTCGATACAAAGTTAAACAAATGATGCCGGTACTCTATTAATAGATGGATGGTAGAACATAATAGATTTGCATATTGTAGAAAGCGAAACCGGTCGTCTGATAGTTAAATTAAATTGATTGTGAGTAAGTCTTATTTATTATTTCTTTACCTATTTGAAATGGACTCACACAAGCAACACATTCATGATTTAGATAATTAATAGTTCTGTAACCAAACAGGACCGGTTCGGCGCCGAGACTGTGACGGGACTGATGTGTCTGAAATCGACCTTTTATAACGCGGTATGTCAAAAAATATGATTTTTTCTTTAAGAGTTGCGATGCAGTAAAGAATTCCCAGTTCTATTAATTCTTGACAACCATGAGAGCCGTTACGATGTTCATGTGCTGAATCTGTGTAAAGATAATGGGATTATTTTATTGACATTGTCGCCCCATTGCAGTCATAAATTACAACCGCTCGACGTGGGCTGCTTCTTTCTATTTAAAAGCTAATATAACCAATAAGTTGACGACTGGATGCCAAATCATCCTGCCATACCTATGAGCATTTATGATGTTTATAATGTTGGCACCGCCTACCCTAAAGCATTCACTCCTGTCAACATTCTCAACGGATTTAAAAAAACAGGCGTAGAACCCTTGAATTTTCAAATTTTTTCAGAGATTGATTTTATGTCATCTTATGTCACTGATAGGCCCTAAGAAAAGGAAAATGTAAATGATAACGAATATAAGGCTAACGAAGGTGTTCAGGATGTGGAAGATGTTCTGGATGTAGATGTTCAGGATGTAAACAAACCACGACATGTCAGTCCAATTAATGGATCATCCAATATAATAACCCCTCAGCAAATTAGGCCACATGCCAAAACTGCTCCTAGGAAAAGCCTTAGGAGAAGCAGAAAGAAGCTACAGTCGGCAATAATAAAAATAATTTCAGAAACAAAAAAACACTTTCAGAAGAAAAAAAGCAGAAGGAAAACCAGATGTAGATACCGTAGAAGACGAATATATTTTACTAAAGCTGCCCCCTCCTCCCATTAGTGGATGTACAGCTAGGGCTGCTCGCCCGTTTATGTTCCCTGTGAATTTTTTCCAATTTAAAATAGAGTAAAAGAGTTTTTTCTATTAAACATCCCACTATGGACCACTATGATTCCCACTATAGTATTGGACCATATAGTGGTTCATAGTGAGACGAGTGGTCCATAGTGGGACCTGTTGAATAACATTTATTATAAATAAAGGATTACTTGAAATTATTATTAATTTGCTTCCTTACATCCATACCCATGTGTAGGTACCCTTACTATCATTTACAAACGCTTAATCAAGGTGCTATACACTTAAAAAAAAACATCCCACTATGGACCAGTTTACTCGATTATAAAGCTTTAATGATGATAAGCATATATATTATTAATATTATTTATTAGCCAACGTTATTATATAGCAAAATATTTATAATTATGTTAGAGTCCTATGTTCAGCAGTGGACTTTTAAGGCTGGATGATGATCTTCAATTTTAGTTGTAATTGAATGGAAAATAAAGAAATTATTAATATTAGCTACTGTATTTTCCACAAAATTTTAATTTTAAAATAATGTCTTCTCAATTCTAGAAGTAACTCGCTTGCTAAACAGAGTAAGCTGTCCATGTGGGTAATACAAAAAGCTCTTAAATATTTTGTTTTAGCTGTCTTGATATTTGGGGTTTATATAATTTATTTCTTTTTTTCATACATACTCAGCGAGCATACTACAGCTCAAGCCGTTTCTCACTCTCTTTGCGCCAGCAATTTTTCTCAATCCAGTCATTTTGTCCTAATTTTCTCGCTACAATTGCACCTCTTGGACCTCAACATTCCAGCATAATAAGGACCTGTATATCTACAAGGTCTTCCAATGGGGACTCTCGATTTTTGTCAGTTAACGGCGGCCATAATGTTGAAGCTATATCTGTCAAATTTACTGTCATTTATTTTAGTCTCTTTTGCCAAATCACCATGGATGCTTATACCGTACAACAATACGTACAAATGATAAAATTGTTTTATCAAAATGTGTGTTCTGTTCGGCAAAGTTTCGAACATTTTCATTATTTTACGGTCACCAAATTCGGCCTACTCAGAGGACTATGCCTATTCGGCCTACTCAGTGTAATAGATAAATATCAATCCATTGATTTAGTAAACCATCAACCGGTACGTTGAGTAAACTCAAGATCTGCCATAAACATCGCCTCTGTCCGTGAGACTGTGTAGGAGAATGCGAGACAGTCGATTTCATGTCACTTACACGAAATCAGCCTTTCACAGACCACAACTTGGTGAATTTTGAGTCGTGATTTGGGCCTGCACGCTACAAAAATCAACTAATCCAGGAGCTGATGTTAAACGACCATAGACAACGACGTGTATTCTCAAAACTAGATTTGGAGCAATTGGAAACTGAACCTAATTCTCGTATAAAATTCTTCTTCAGCAATGAGTCCTATTTTTTGATGAATTGGTACGTTAACAAACAGAATTGTAGAATTTAGGACAACAACCATCCAGATAAGATCCAGGAGCGTCCAATGTATCTCAAAAAAGTTACTATTTGGTGTGAATTTTGACAATAGGACGGCGTTACTTGCCACACGGCGCATGTCATATTGAACATTCTGCACGAGAGAAAAAGAAGGTATACAATACACCTGATTAGAGTAACCAAAAGTATGTACATAAATATAAATATTGCTATTAAAATGCATTCAAGCAAAACAAATATAAAGTCTTGTAGTGTTTAATCAAAGTAATATCACACAAAGAACGTCTTCGTAGAAAGAGAACATTTAAATTAAAGAATCTGGTGTTTGAAACCATCAGCCTCTCAATTCAGAGCAGTAGGTGCAAAAGTGTAAATTGCAATGTTGCTTTTCTTATATGAAGATTCAAGATTTAAAGGTCACCTTGCCAGACATCACTGTGATTTTATTATTATTTTATTTTATTATTAAATGTTTATTAAAGCAGTTTATAGACAGAAGAGTTAAATATAGGGTCTACCAAACCGTTTACAAATTCTAGAACAAAATAAACAAATAAGTACATGAACTATAATAATCATCATTTAGTAGTTACTGAAAATTAACCAAAATATTCCTTTAGTTTGCTAAAATAATTCCATTGTTTACATGTAGTGCAGTCGTTTGTGGTTTATTATTAAATTAGCCACACCATTCTTATCTTCCTTTGATAAGAAAATTCGATAGAGATCGGAATAAAAAAAATATTTAGATCTATTAATGACTTTTTGCCCGAAAACTAGTATTTAATATATTGATCATTAATTTAAAATAAAAAATAAAGAAATGTGAGTTTCATGAATTGTTATTTTATTGTTTATTTAGTTTTAAAAACTGACAAAATCTTTTACTGGTATCTATTCAAAAGAAATCCCAATTGTCGTGAATAAGTTATAATATTCCAGCATATTTCTTTGATTATACTTAAACTAATGTATAATCATTTATCAGTTTCTATATTTTAGTGTTAATAATCAAAGTATTACAGTTAAATGTAATGTCTTTTTGCCAATAATTAATCAAAATTATACGCTTCCCAAATAAAAACCATAAGCTGTTCCCATCTGCGTCTTACAACGAAGTTTATAAACAAACTCAGAAAATTAAACAATGCCCTTTAACGAACTTACCGCTTTGCAACATTTTTAACATTTATTCTCACAAAACCAATCTAAGCCCAAAAAATTTCACTACCGAACATCAACTACCGGATGCGGTCGATAAGATATATATTCAAAAATAAGACGATGTTATCTGTCCCGGCGATCGTAGTAATATGTTGGCAATAAATTAATCTTTTAACTCTTGAACCACGACCATAATGTTTCTATACGTTCGTCTACCTTGAAAAACAATCGATTGCGCCACTCAAGCGCACCGCAAGAGTGCCCTAAGCTCGCGCCAAATTTCAAAATCGCGTCTCGACGCTGGCCCTTTATATGCAAACCACACCCACATATTAAATCAACACTTATTAAGTAAAAGGCCAAAAAACCATGATTGTATATGTCAAACCTGCTTGTTAGCTGTCAACTAATTTCAATGTTGCCAATTATAAATATTGATGTGAGATTATTCTGTTTAGTAGCTTTATTTAAGTTTTAATATTATTTAACTTGCCCAATATATATTTTAAATACTTTTATTTACCACAGTTTAAAAATATTTTAGTTAAATAAATCCACATCCTATTTATACAAATTGCATTTGTCAATGTGGCAACTGTGTCGAGACATTTTCGTTTTTGATTAATGTTTTTGTGTACATCAATAATAAAATTGTTGGTTTCCATATTTTCCAATATTTCTACGATACAAACTTTACAGTGATTTGGAACATGGGAAAAGATGACAACAGTAGCTAAAAATTCTGAAGACATTTTAAAAGGTTTTCAAATGTATCCTTTTTAAACCAAATAAATATGTTTTAATCTAATTTTCTCCTTAGATAGTTTGTAGATTAATTTGTTTTTTAAGATCAAAACGTTTCCTTAACTCTCGTTCTAGAAATTGGATCTGTCTGCGAGACGCCGACGGTGGTAAAATATTCTGGCAAGGCTCTGAGGACTTAAGCTTCCCAGAAGTAGAACATGAAGCTCGAGTACCTAAGACAATCCTCAAATGTCGTGCAGTATCTCGAGAGTTTAACTTTAGCTCCAAAGAGCAAATGGAGAAATTCCGTTTGGAACAAAAAGTTCTATTTAAAGGGAGATGTCTTGAAGAATGGTACTTTGAATTTGGTTTTGTTATGTCAGAGTCGACAAATACATGGCAATCCATTATGGAGGCCGCACCAGAATCACAGATGATGCCCGCCTCGGTGCTTAAGTGAGTATTCCTCTTTTTGAATATCAGTAATAAAAATGTTTATCTTTTCGTTCATAGATAAAAATGAATTTACCACAATTTATTCTTTTTCTTAAATATTATTATGAATTGTTACTTTTTCAAATTCTTAACTCAGACTCTGGTGTTATGTGCATGTTTATATTTTGTATTTTATTAAATATTAATGAATATGTATTTTTCAGTGGCAACATAGTGATTGAGACCAAATTTTACGACGATGATCTTTTGATTACCACATCGAGAGTTCGTGTATTTTATGTGTAGATACAGTTTACAATAATATAGTTGATAACACGGCTTAAATATGAGCCAAACAATGTTATTTTTAGTTATTTAAGTGTTCAGACTGTTTTCATACCAGCATTTACAATTTTAATAAAAAAATACATTTGTACAAATTTGAGTTTTACTTTATATATGAAGGGCTTGGGTGTAAAAAATGGTATGTGACATTTTTTAAATGTTAAAAGAGACACTCTTGAAGGTTTCAAACATAAGATATTACAAGAATTTTTGAAAAAAAACATGCAGTAGATACCATTGTTTATACTTTTTTAATTAAGAAACTGCAGTAGATACCATTGTTTGCATTATTTTTTTAAAAGCAAGTTACATAAACAATAAAAGTTTTTTTGAAGAAAATATGTCCTTAACTAAAAAATAATTCAAAACTTAAAATTTAAACATTGGATTTAACAAGTAAATTGGTATAAATCATGATGCACTGAGGGTATCCATTATAGGTATGATAGCACATGTTCAAGTTTTCCAGACTCAATGGGAAGCTGAGCTTCATATTTCCTTCCTAATTTGTTGAGAAACTTTAAATTGAACCGGTCTGCCTCTTTTTTAAATTGAGACACTGGTAAAATGGCCACTATATGAGTTCGATAACTATCATATCAAGATGTTTAGCTGAAAATCTCATTCTAACAGCGTTTCGGATACTCATCTGATGATTGGCGGTTGGAAATAATTCTTCATATCAGAAATTTTTAAAAAGTCTTCCTGTTTCATACAATATACTAGGAATGGTGTTTTTTTTATCTGAAGCAAGTAAAACTGCTTCTCATTGTTTTGGAGAATATACATACTGGCAGTGAGCTCTAATATATTTTTCCACTAGGGCAAAATCTCAATCTAAAGGAAGCATTGTATGCCCAACTTGAGGAAACATGAATAATTTCTTTGAAACAGCCTTCTGCTACTAGACAAATCCAAAGTGAGGCAAGTGACCAATTCTTATTTTGTCCGCTGCAGCTGTCAGAAATGGCAATAAGTTTGGAACATTTTATATCATGGGATGAAAATGTTTAATTATACTGCTTCCAATCTCGTCAGCTGTTGCCTCATCCCACATGTAGAAATACCCCTGGGAGGGATACAAACTATGGATGCTGAAATTGTAACCTTCTTTTTGTAAAAGGTTGGCCTGTTGATAATTTAGGAGTTGGCAGAGCCTGCTGAGGATCGAATGTTATAGCATAAATTCCATCAGATATTGAGGCTGCCAGAGTCACTTCTTTTAAGGCGTCTTGGTCAGCTTTGGTTTTTCTGTGATGCAATTCTTGTTTAAATTTTAACTCTTGTATAGCGCCTTCATCAGTTTTTGAAGCGGCATTCTAAAGAGCGACGTAAATATACATCTAAATTTGTCTGAAGATTCGCATTTGCTGACTTGTCGTATGAATTCTTGCTTATAAACGTCATAACACTTCTCTACAGTATATTCTAATGTCATGAAATAGTGTTAGGATTATCTTGACGAGAGTAGTGGCTCTCGTACTTAGGTAATGATTTAATGAAAGACCTGACAAAATCGATTTTTGTCGATCAGTATATTTTCTTTTATGATCTTTGTGTGAACTCCTACCATCCATCTTTATAGTTGATAAACCAGTTTTCATAGATTTTACAGAAATCCCATGTTCTGATTCGTCCAAGGCTTCTCTAAAGATGTTTTCAGAGTATATGTTAAATAATGCCGGTGACAATTTGCAACCCTGTCTAACTCCTTTTTCGACTGTGAAGATCTCGGAAAGTTCATTTTCTAATCGTACTGTTGCTTTTTGTCGGAGATATAAGTTTGAGATCAGTCTTATATCCTTACCATCGAGTCATGATGTTTTTAGGATATCGACTAGTTTCCCATGTAGGACTTTATCAAATGTCTTCTCGAAATCAATGAAACATGCATACATATTGCAGTTCACATCCCTAGCTCTCTGTATTAGAACTTGCAAACTAAAAAGTGCTTCCCTCGTTTCGAGTCTTGCTCTGAATCCAAATTGAACTTCACTCAGGTGTTCTTCTAATTTGATGTACATGCGCGAATGAATGATAGTAAGGAGTATTTTAAGTACATTGCCCATCAAACTAATTAATATATGTTCTTCACATTTTCTAGCGTTGGCTTATTTAGGAAGTGGAATAAATATTGATAATAGCATGTCTTTTGGTAAGTAACCAGTCACGTAGATGTTGAATATCTTCGTAAGAGCTTTGATTTGGTGTGCCTCTAATAGCTTTAAAATTTCACCATGCCCCTCATTAAAGATGGGAAATCACCAGTTCCTGGTGATTTCCCATCTTTAATCCGCTTAATAGTCATAGTTACTTCTTCGTTTATTATTTCTGGGCCGTAGGGGTTGTTCAGTTCAGTCGGACTTCGTGTTGCAATTTTAATAATGCTTGCATATAGTCAAAATTTGTCCTTCAATGCCTACAACTATGCCTGTATTGCGTTGTTTTCTGGTATTCTGTACCTCTTTAATTTTTTTGTGCATATGTAAATCGTCATGCTTGCGTTGTAGTGTTTCAACTTCTATACTTTTCTCCATTAGCCATGCTTCTTTTGCTCCTTTTATCTCCTTTAGTCCTACGCAACTTTCTGCATTCGTTGTCATTTCTACCTTTTAATTTTCTTCGCTCTTCCATCATCTGCAATAGTTTATCAGTTATCCATTCTTGCTTCTTTTCTCTTTTTGATTTTAGATATTCTTGCGAAATTGTGGTTATACATGTCTTCATTTCGTTTCACTGTTCTTCTGTGCCTCTGGTAGTGTCTTTAACTATTTTCGTAAGATTCTTATTAATTTCTGTTTTTACTTTTTTCTGAGTGTCACTTTCTTTTAGTACTCATATATCTATCTTGGGCCTCATTTATAAATTATTTTGAGTCGTATGTTGATATTTGCAACCAATAGACATGTTAATGTTAACCAATAAGAAGACATGTTTATGAAGATGTTTATATGACTCATAAAAGCCAGAGCAACCAGATTTGACTATAAGAGATAGTAATCTACACTATAGTCATTGGCAATTACAAAGATGGCGTAGCGCTAAAATCCTGGATGGGTCTTGGTTGACTGTACAACTTTTGTTCAATTGGCTTGGTCTTCTGTAGTCAAGTGGAATGTTTATCTTTTGGAGATTTGATTGTATGTTGTCTCCCTATACCATTTTGGGACGCCCAAGTGGTGTTTGTCCTCTGGGAATCTCATCCCAAACCGGTTTTACCAGTTACTCATTATTCAGACTATGTCCGTGCCCTGCCCATAATACAGTTCTCTATATATTATTTAATAATAATTAACATATTAATAGTTACGATCACTCACTTAATGTATTTTGTCTACTAAAATATCCACCTTACTCTCCATTCTAAGTAATTTGACTCCATGTTGTAGATTTTAGAGGTTGTTTAGTCTTATGGACTTAAAGCCACACTGTGACTTGAAAGATCTTCTAAGAAAGTCTATTGTCAGTTTCTGGGATCCTATTTTTTACTTGATCAGGTTCTAAAAAGACCTATTCCAAGTGTTTGTGATCTATTCTGGTCTAGCATGATGTTTAAGGTCATCCAATTTTTTTCTTCTCTTGAACTTGTTATTGTTTTCTCGCCAGTAAAAAAAGTTCATGCTACATATGTTGTAGGACATGACCAGTAAATGTCTAATCAAGGCTTGCTATTTGTAGAACATCCCTTACATAAATTTTATTTCAGATGCAGTTAGTTCTTTACTGATCAATGACGATACAGTTCTCTAATGACGTTTTAGTCAAAATTGGCTTTGGTCTCTTGTAATTTCTATCTCTAGCATAAGGGGTCTCAAGTTGCTCGCCTCCAAGTTCTGATGCCCATCAGGTTTTGCACATTTGCTGCCACTTCACTCTCCCATCTTTTTCGTTTCAGTTGGTCTTATGTTCGGGGTTTTATTCTTAAGGATTTTTTATCTTTATTTACTAAAGGGTAATTAACCCTTTCACTGCGAAAAGCGCGATTTCACGTAGTCTGAATGTTTCATAAAATGCGGAGATCGCCTTATCGCGTCTTGTGAAGATACATGCGCATCTTCTGTCTCATAAAAGGTATTTCTTTATTCGGTAAGTTTCATTTTCTTAATTCATGGAAAGGTTAAATAAGGTAAAAATGAATAAAACGCTGAATTCAGGTATAGAAAAATATATTTCATAACATCAATTAAATAAAATCATTTTTATGGCATCGAAGGTACACAATTTCCAATCGCAGAGGTCAAATAAAATTTCAATGGTAAAACATTTAAAATTGGTTAACATTTAATTAAATATATCAATGCCACAAGAATTGTATCACAAGCTGTTCGTAGAGGGCGTGTTTGTACATACAAGGTGATCAACTCGTTTGTTTGAGACGTCAGTTGTCTTGAAAAATCAAGTCAAATATTCAAATTGTTGATACTTATTAAACAAAAATGCACTGGTTTTGTAAAAATTAAATTGAAGGTAAGTATTCTGTCGCAAAACAAATTCGATATCTTTTAAGACAACGACCTCTCAAATAAAATTACTAATCTATAGTCATTTATATTTTATTTTATTCTTTCTATAGTCTGTTTAAGTAACAATGTAGGTGTAGGTTTTTATATAATAAAAACTAACTATTATTGTGGTTTTTTTGTCGCTAAATGTCAGCGTGGCCCTCTATAGGTACAGTCTTAACACAAAAATCGTCATATGTGCTCAAAAATATTAGAAAATATTTAAAACGAAAGACATTTCGGTTTTTTAGTTAAAGTGTCTTTGAAAACAAAAAGGATGGGAGTTTAGTATTACATGTAGAATGACCACATTATATACACTAAAAAAATACAGATCTTCCAACGTTTAACTAGAATAGCGAGATTTTAATTTTGGTAACAAATTAATAAAGGCATATTTTCAGATATATACTATAAATAGATAGATCACGTGGCGATTGAGGAACTTGCAGGTAAAATAACAGGTTTAAAAGTATACTCCTAGACAAAATTAACGCACCACTCATATTTTTCTCAATAATCTGTATTTATTGATAATTTACTGTACGACAGGTTGCCTATGTACCGTTTTTGAGAGTGACAGTTGTTATATAAGCTAATAATAGTCTTGTTGTCCTCATCTGGCTCGACAGGTTATTGGCTACCTAAATGATGTTGATATACCATTATTAGAGTGGCCACCTCACAGTCCGGATATGAATCCTATAGAGCATCTATGGGACAATCTCAAAAAAAAAGATTCGAAGTCGTAGACCCGTTATTGCCAATCACAACCAACTCATTGAGGCCGTTATTGAAGAATGGGAGAATATTCCACAAGCTTTTGTTGAACATTTAATATCAAGCATGCCTCGACGCATAAATGCAGTCATAAGAAGTAGAGGAGGGCCTACACGGTATTAGTGTTGACCCAGGTGCATTTTATTGTGTTACTTTACTGATTTTTTTCTTTTTGCAATTTGGAGTTATGCTAGCTTATTTACACATTTCCTGCAAAAACAAATTTTTAAAGAAACAATAAGGCAAATTAAGGTCATGATAAAGTCATGTTGGACTTATTTGTAAGTGTTTATTATTATTTCAATGTAACTTAGTTTTATTTTGTGTTCATATTGTAAATATTTAGATTAATTAAAGTGGTGCGTTAATTTTGTCCAGGAGTTTATTATTGTCTCAAATTACGAAGACAGTTTTTTCAATTATCGAAATCAGTTAGTTGTATTATACTGTCTCACCTAAATGTAGATTGACCTTTGGCGGGTTTATGATGCCTAACCACCGAGAAAAATAACAGTAGGATATAAAATATACATTCAAATGTTACTGATTGGTAATTTGTACCTATTCATTCGAAAACTCAATATTATTTAAAAAAAAAACACTTAAAAATCAGCTTTAATTTGGCTGAAAACGAGTGTTCATGTAAAATTTATTACTTAAATAAACCAAGTCCGATTATTCAAATGAAATAATTATATTTAATAATTTCTAAAATAAATATTTTTGATTATTCAGTCAACAGGTTTCAGAGTTGCGCCAAATATAGGCAACTTACAATTCTTTGCTGCAATGTTACGTGCAAAAAGAGTTTGTATTGGAACCATCCATTTCTGACGTAGTTCTATCAAATAACTACGCCAGGAAATCTAAGAAACGTATAATCATTATGCAGAGACTGTAGAAAAATTCTGAGTAGATGTGTAGAAGTAAAAAACGATTAAAATGTCTTCCAGATAACACCTCCTCCGCGTTGGATTTACGTTACAACAATTTGACTGCCATTAAGTGACAGCTTATACATCATACCAAAGTGTATTTGCACTGTGAAACACAAAAAAATGGAAATTTGAGTTACAAAAAGTACTCCGAGTACTCAATCCTAGAAAATCAAAGGCTAACAATCGAATTAAAGACTAAATCTCTAGGAATCCTTGCCTCTGGGTACTCTTCAGGAAGCGAACATGAGGTATTGCTTCAGGAATTTCTTCATAAGCCACCCAGATGACTTTTTGAACTGCCTTAAGCTTTTCCACTTCCCTCTTGGCTTCTGGGAATCTTGTTAGTACTGCCGAAACCTAAACAGAAGCAGCAGCTTTACTGAAAGTTATATCTTCGGTTCTTGGCCTTTGCGTTGACTTTCGGGTGTTGTGCTTCCGTCTGCCCTTTGCCTTTTTGGACCTTCGATCTTCTGAGTTTGTCTTTGTTTTATCATGGCCTCTAATGGCTTTTTTGTCCTTACAGAAGCCTTGATTACAGCCCTTTTGGCTTGTATGTAATCTTAGCTTTGTTCACCGGCTTACTGATTTTAGTCTTACTATGGTCTGTTTTTTAACCAGGAGGAGTAATTCAAATTTTCCGCGTCGTAATGCTTGTTTGCAATTGGTCCAACCGCAGCCAAGTTTACTCCACTAAATTATGACATATTGACACTAATGACATTTGTGAAATTTATTTATTATTATTTTCCTCTAATATATAAATCGATTTCTGACTCTTTAAGTTGTTTGTAATAACTTGAACTTGGTGATATGCGAATAGTATTTAATGTGATATTTTTCTAAATGATATTTATACTAAATATAGTTTAAAGTGTATATAAATTTATAAATGTATGTTATTTATATCTAATTATCATAAGAAAAACGGCAACTATCTTTTAAATTTAGTGTATACTTGTTAAGAAGTATTTCCATTTTGTTTTCATCACAATAAAAGAACATTAGTAAAGTAATGTTGTGTTTTAGTTTGATTGTATGATACAGTTGGTTTTGTTCTTCCTGGTTGTAGATCATCACAAGAAAACTGCAAAATTATGCAAAAATGTAACATAATAGATTGGATTTGTTGATTATCTCACAGAAATCCAGTATTTTTTAGTAAATTTTATTTGTTGATAACAAATGGAACAAACTCACTGTCAAAATTAAACAAGAATCCAGCATTAAAGAAATTGTAAGTACACACTTATTACTAAAAAAACTGGATTCAAGAAATTGACCATACCAGAATAAGAATATGGTCTACTATTAAAAGACAAATTTCTGAGAAAAAACATACTTAGATCTGTAACATTATTGACTCCCGATAAAAATATTCTCTAAATTATAATTAAATACCATAGACTTAAGAGATCTATAAAACTGGATCACCCGATATTTAAATAATATATACATGGGACCAAATGTGAAAAAAGTCCTTTTTTTTTATTGTAATAGGTATATTGGAATGTATATATATATTGGAAGTGAATTGAAAAAAATTATTTTATTATTCAAACATAAATAAACAAAGTTCGGTTAAAATTGACGTGTGAGGTTGTCCAATATTGATTACTCGATTACCGCAAGGCCGTGATAATCAACAAAAAAAGAAGATGTATTTGGTGACTTTTCTAGTAACTTTCTTGAGTGTGAATCTGTCTTTTTGGTTTACTCCTCCTGGTTAAAAAACAGAGTATAGATGCCAGATAGCTTTGCAGCATTCATCTATTTGTATGTCATGAGATCAACGTCTTCCAACGCTTGTTACTCTGACAGAATTTGTGGTTCTTTGCCTTTCAGCATGAGAGAATCAATAGATGTAAGTTTTTACTCCAGAGAAGTCAATATTTACATCCTACTAAAAATGTGACCTTCTAGAAATTTGTGTAAGTCTAAAAAACGATTAAAATTACTTGCAGATGAAATGCTGTGTAATATTACATACTCATTTTCCCTTAAATTGCACTAGCAGGAATTTATTAACCTATTTATGCAAAAATCAGCTGCTGAATTATCTCCGCATTGGTTTTGCGTTATAACATTTTGATAGCCACTGACTGTGTTGATTCGAGACAGCTAATACGTCATACTAAAGTGTATTTGCACTTAAGTAAGACAAATAATTGAATATTTAGTTACAAAAAATATTCCGAGAATATCGCGCCATTTTTGATAAATAATCTCGTATAAAAATATATATAAAAATGTCAATACAGTGTTAATTCTAGAAAATCTAGGCTAATAATCGAACTAAACTCTTAATATTCTCAAAAAATAGATCAAAATACGAAATTCCAAAAAATATTAAACGTATTAACCGGAAATAGGCTCAAAAATGGGTTACTGTTGCTTTTAAACAGTTTGAGGACCACTGATTTCCTGTATTTTACTTAAATCATCTTATTAACTTGGGTCCGGATAACTGTGACTCCTGTATAAGTATTGTTCTGAAGCTATTTTCTTGTGGCATATTAAAGTAATTATTATTTAAATGGGAATATGCCACAATTAAAGGTTAAAGTTAGTTAGTTAATAGTAATACAGTATAAACAATATTTCATCCAAGCAACGATAGCACATTGGACAACAAGTTCCACAATATTTGTTGTATACATCTGATATATATGCCTTAATTAGCTAAAAAATATAGAACTTTGATTTTTGCCGATAGTTATTTAAAATTGTTTTGAAATTGGCATATTTTCGATATAATTAAAGCGGAAACGAGAGTATTGTAAAATAAATCATGATAAAAACAGCATAAATAGCGGTAAACTACGCTAAGTGATGAACTAGACATATATATTTAAAAACAGCAACGCATGTTTTTGGTAGTTCGCACTTTAACTGACAGGGGTCGCATGTGTGGCTATATAATGACATCTTATGCCTAATTCAACCATTAATGCACGTTATACCATTAAATATTTCTCGCCAATAAAAAATTTTCACGCTACATATGTTGTAGGACATGATCAGCAAATGTCTAATCAAGACCTGCTATTTGTAGAACATCCCTTACATAAATTTTATTTCAGGTGCAGTTAGTTTTTTACTAATCAAAGACGTTACAGTCCTCTAATCACGTTTTAGTCAAAATTGGCTTTGGTCTCTTGTAATTTCTACCTCTAGCATAAGGGTTGCTAAGTTATGATGCCCATCAGGTTTTGCACATTTGCTGCCACTTCACTCTCCCATCTTTTTCGTTTGTGTTGGTCTTATGTTCGGGGATTTATTCTTAAGGATTTTTTATCTTTATTTATTAATGGGTATATTAACCCTTTCACTGCGAAAGGCGCGATTTCACATCGTCTGATTGTTTCATAAACTACGCACAGCGCCTTATCGCGTCTTGCGCAGATACATGCGCATCTTCAGACTCATGACAGATATTTCTTTATTCAGTAAGTTTTATTTTCTTAATTCATGGAAAGGTTAAATAAGGTAAAAATGAATAAAACGCTGAATTCAGGTATAGAAAAATATATTTCATAACATCAATTAAATAAAATCATTTTTATGGCATCGAAGGTACACAATTTCCAATCGCAGAGGTCAAATAAAATTTCAATGGTAAAACATTTAAAATTGGTTAACATTTAATTAAATATATCAATGCCACAAGAATTGTATCACAAGCTGTTCGTAGAGGGCGTGTTTGTACATACAAGGTGATCAACTCGTCTGTTTGATACGTCAGTTGTCTTGAAAAATCAAGTCAAATATTCAAATTGTTGATACTTATTAAAAATGCACTGGTTTTGTAAAAATTAAATTGAAAGTAAGTATTCTGTCGCAAAACAAATTAGATATCTTTTAAGACAACGACCTCTCAACTAAAATTACTAATCTATAGTCATTTATATTTTATTTTATTCTTTCTATAGTCTGTTTAAGTAACAATGTAGGTGTACGTTTTTATATAATAAAAACTAACTATTATTGTGGTTTTTTTTGTCGCCAAATCTCAGCGTGGCCCTCTATAGGTACAGTCTTAACACAAAAATCGTCATATGTACTCAAAAATATTAGAAAATATTTAAAACGAAAGACATTTCGGTTTTTTAGTTAAAGTGTCTTTGAAAACAAAAAGGATGGGAGTTTAGTATTACATGTAGAATGACCACATTATATACACTAAAAAAATACAGATCTTCCAATGTTTAACTAGAATAGCGAGATTTTAATTTTGGTAACAAATTAATAAAGGCATATTTTCAGATATATACTATAAATAGATAGATCACGTGGCGATTGAGGAACTTGCAGGTAAAATAACAGGTTTAAAAGTATACCCCTAGACAAAATTAACGCACCACTCATATTTTTCTCAATAATCTGTATTTATTGATAATTTACTGTACGACAGGTTGCCTATGGACCTTGTTTGACAGTGACAGTTGTTATATAAGCTAATAATAGTCTTGTTTTAACAATAATTTGTATTAAACTTCGTTTTAGGCTAAAATTGAGTTAAAATTTTCATAAAAAGTGCCGATTAAAGCAAAGTTCTTGTGAGAAACAAGCTTTTTATTGTGATATTTTTCATCACATGCATGTTTGGAAGTTCATTTGCATAAAAATCAAATGAAAGAATGAACCGCGAAAGAAATTTGTCAATGGAGGAAGCAGTGCGAGCATTGACTCTCCTAGATGATTAATATTCATTGCGATACGTTGCAGATTTGTTATAAAGACATCATTCCAGCATCAGTCGCAAGGTGAGGTGATATAATGAAACAGGGTCGTACCATCGAAGACCAGGGCAAGGGCGAAAACGTTGCACTTATCAAATTCATGATCGTTTTTTGAGACAACGTGCTCTCAGAGATAAGAGAGTCACCAGTAATTTGCTAAAAAATGAAATAGCATATGTTCGAAATGTCGCGATATCGTCTCGAACAGTTAGAAGAAGCAGAATTGAGCAACAGGAAACCGGCCACAAAACCCTTGCTTGCCAGAGAACACAGGGTTCAGATATTGAATTTTGTAAGATTTTGCTTGTATTACAAATGCAGAATAGATCAATTTAAAAAAAATACTAGATGGAATTTATCATAATAAAGAACAAAATCGAGATATTGAGGATAACTCTACACAATCTAGAGATAGGTCAAGAAAACTTCCATGAGCGATTGGATCAAAATTGGACCATCGATGATTGGAAACGAGTTTTTTTCTCCGATGAGACTAGAGTAAGCCTAAAAGCTCCAGATGGTCGTGAGCGTGTCTGGCGAAGGCGAGGAGAAACATTTGCCAGCTGCAATATCTCTCCTACAGTACCTTTTGGAGGTGGCTCTACAATGTTTTGGGGGAATTTGTTTTGAAGCTCGTACGGAGTGGGTCCCCATACGTACGAGGTATATGAATGCCCATTATTACTTAGACAACATTATTGTCGAACACGTAATGCCTTTTGATCCGTTTCTTGGACCTAATTTTTTATTCATGAGACAACGCTCGTCCTCATCTGGCTCGACAGGTTATTGGCTACCTAAATGATGTTGATATACCATTATTAGAGTGGCCACCTCACAGTCCGGATATGAATCCTATAGAGCATCTATGGGACAATCTCAAAAAAAAAGATTCGAAGTCGTAGACCCCCTATTCTGCCGTGTTAACTCAAAAGGGCGTAACTGCAATTTTTATTAAAAACGAGTTTGATGTCCCACGCGTTAGTTAGTAATCTTTTCTACAAATCTACCTGAGTTTCGTAGCCATATCTGCAATAAAACCGGATATATACTGCTTAAATTAATAGCCGTATCTGAATTTTCTACTAGAATACCAGAATAAGAATATGGTCTACTATTAAAAGACAAATTTCTGAGAAAAAACATACTTAGATCTGTAACATTATTGACTCCCGATAAAAATATTCTCTAAATTATAATTAAATACCATAGACTTAAGAGATCTATAAAACTGGATCACCCGATATTTAAATAATATATACATGGGACCAAATGTGAAAAACGTCCTTTTTTTTATTGTAATAGGTATATTGGAATGTATATATATTGGAAGTGAATTTAAAAAAATTATTTTATTATTCAAACATAAATAAACAAAGTTCGGTTAAAATTGACGTGTGAGGTTGTCCAATATTGATTACTCGATTACCGCAAGGCCGTGATAATCAACAAAAAAAGAAGATGTATTTGGTGACTTTTCTAGTAATTTTCTTGAGTGTGAATCTGTCTTTTTGGTTTACTCCTCCTCGTTAAAAAACAGAGTATAGATGCCAGATAGCTTTGCAGCATTCATCTATTTGTATGTCATGAGATCAACGTCTTCCAACGCTTGTTACTCTGACAGAATTTGTGGTTCTTTGCCTTTCAGCATGAGAGAATCAATAGATGTAAGTTTTTACTCCAGAGAAGTCAATATTTACATCCTACTAAAAATGTGACCTTCTAGAAATTTGTGTAAGTCTAAAAACGATTAAAATTACTTGCAGATGAAATGCTGTGTAATATTACATACTCATTTTCCCTTAAATTGCACTAGCAGGAATTTATTAACCTATTTATGCAAAAATCAGCTGCTGAATTATCTCCGCATTGGTTTTGCGTTATAACATTTTGATAGCCACTGACTGTGTTGATTCGAGACAGCTAATACGTCATACTAAAGTGTATTTGCACTTAAGTAAGACAAATAATTGAATATTTAGTTACAAAAAATATTCCGAGAATATCGCGCCATTTTTGATAAATAATCTCGTATAAAATATATATAAAAATGTCAATACAGTGTTAATTCTAGAAAATCTAGGCTAATAATCGAACTAAACTCTTAATATTCTCAAAAAATAGATCAAAATACGAAATTCCAAAAAATATTAAACGTATTAACCGGAAATAGGCTCAAAAATGGGTTACTGTTGCTTTTAAACAGTTTGAGGACCACTGATTTCCTGTATTTTACTTAAATCATCTTATTAACTTGGGTCCGGATAACTGTGACTCCTGTATAAGTATTGTTCTGAAGCTATTTTCTTGTGGCATATTAAAGTAATTATTATTTAAATGGGAATATGCCACAATTAAAGGTTAAAGTTAGTTAGTTAATAGTAATACAGTATAAACAATATTTCATCCAAGCAACGATAGCACATTGGACAACAAGTTCCACAATATTTGTTGTATACATCTGATATATATGCCTTAATTAGCTAAAAAATATAGAACTTTGATTTTTGCCGATAGTTATTTAAAATTGTTTTGAAATTGGCATATTTTCGATATAATTAAAGCGGAAACGAGAGTATTGTAAAATAAATCATGATAAAAATAGCATAAATAGCGGTAAACTACGCTAAGTGATGAACTAGACATATATATTTAAAAACAGCAACGCATGTTTTTGGTAGTTCGCACTTTAACTGACAGGGGTCGCATGTGTGGCTATATAATGACATCTTATGCCTAATTCAACCATTAATGCACGTTATACCATTAAATATGCCAAAAAACTTTTACTTCAGAAAATTCTGTGCGTCAAAAATGTAAAATTATTTTAAAATTATAAATTTTCCAAAAGATTTTTCAATAAATCAGTAATATACTTATTTTTTAACTAAAAGTCAAATTACCACAGATAAATTTAAATGTAAAAACTTTAGTTTAAGCTCAGTTAAAGTTAGATCAACATGTATGGAAATAGAAATATTTGTTGTGACATTTGAACTACTGGTCATTTTTTAATTATAAATATTGAGTTATTGTGTGAATACGCCACGATATTGGTTATACTAATGAAAATATTCTTTCCTGTGAAAAAATCATTGATTAGGCGGCCAACAAATTGTACTTAAGTGAAGAAACAATGTAGAATATATTCTCTTCTGTTTTCTTCTGTTTCCATTACATTTTAAACAAATTCCATAAGCGAGTTTTTTAGGACTACTCATTCCAAAAAGTTTAAGTAGCTTGTAACAAATGCAAAATAGATTAATTTAAAAAAATACTAGATGGAATTTATCATAATAAAGAACAAAATCGAGATATTGAGGATAACTCAATACTATACTATAGTATCACTCAGGACTATAATATCAAAAAGCTTAGAAACACCGGAAAACAAAAAAAATTTAAATATATTTTAAAAGTACAAGAGAGACTTTTGTCAAAATACAGAAATAATGAAGATACATATTAGAAATCTTTTCAACGCACTAGAGATACTTCTATATCTTTCATAAGCGATTTCGTCAGGATTACAAGTCAAGAAAGTTTGGGAATACGAACGAGAACGTACGATTAGAAAAATAAAGAGCATGTATTTTAAAAAGTACTAGATGAAATTTGCCATAATAAAGAACAAATTAAATATATTAGGAATAACTCTATACAGTCTAGATATAGGCCAAGAAAACTTCCATGAGCGATTTCCTCAGGACTACAGTCTCAAAAAGTTAAGAAATACAAAGGGGAACATAAGATTAGAAACTTATTTGTGCACTAATTACCGAATCACTAATTTCTTTAACGGGGGCGGCAAACTTTTGGGTAAATCAGGAGATTCTTCTTCTTTATCGTCTGTACCGGAATCGCTGGATTCGCTAGACTTAATCTGACTACGAAAGAAATCTGATCTTACTGAGTTATACTCTTTACCTAGCGTCTGTATTTTTTCTATGTCAGCGTTTTCTAATGCAGTTTCAAATACCGCACTAAATTCATCAGGTCCATCAGTAAAAGTCTTTAGGCTAGCCGTCCTTTCTTCATCGCTCATCGATCGTTGAAGGACAGCTTTTTGTGCAGACGTCTTGGTGGCGAGTTTTTCCTCATTATGACAGATTTCGCAACAGAATTCAGAGTTTTCAGTTTTGTAATAGTTGTCTAGGGTTAATTGACTATCACAACGTGCACAACGGAAACAAGTACGATGAAACCGTGATTTTCCTACGTTTAGGCGCCCAGCTGGGCGCCTAAACGTAGGAAAATCACTCGCCACCAAGACGTCTGCACAAAAAGCTGTCCTTCAACGATCGATGAGCGATGAAGAAAGGACGGCTAGCCTAAAGACTTTTACTGATGGACCTGATGAATTTAGTGCGGTATTTGAAACTGCATTAGAAAACGCTGACATAGAAAAAATACAGACGCTAGGTAAAGAGTATAACTCAGTAAGATCAGATTTCTTTCGTAGTCAGATTAAGTCTAGCGAATCCAGCGATTCCGGTACAGACGATAAAGAAGAAGAATCTCCTGATTTACCCAAAAGTTTGCCGCCCCCGTTAAAGAAATTAGAAACTTAATATAAAAACAACAAAGACTTCGTCATAAAAAATAATGAAGTTAAGTATTACAAATCTTTTAAAAACATTAGAGATACATTTGGACCTTCCATAAACGATTTCGTCAGGAATACAATTCTATACAAATTCCACGAGCGATTTCCTTAGGAGTAGAATGCCAGGAAAGCAGGAAATAAGATTGGAAATGTAAAGATACAGAGTTAAAACCTGCCGTGATAGAAGTTAAGGATGGAATGTAGTATATATGAAACTAAACAATGTAAATTTCTGTATGTTCACAGTTTTCAAACCTATATTCAATCACTGGAGGACTAACTGACTATAATACCACTATTAACATGAATATTCTAGTAAATATAGTCGATTAGATACCTAAGATTCTGAAATAGAGGAGGTCTATACAAAAAGGATTTTTACAAAATTTGTCTGGAATCGATCTTTTAGTTTTCGATACGTTAGTGCTGCCTTTCATGCTGGAAACCAAAGGGACGGATATTTGCGTTCACGGTCACAAATTAAGATTGTACGATTTGTACATAACATTGATACCCTTCTTTTTCTTCCTTATAACTCTTCTTGTCTGCATATTCAAGCTGCACGGTTTGATATATTATTGTAACTCCTCTCCTTTCATGCTCACAGCAAGAAAAAACCTAACCTAACCTAAAAGGTACCTAACGACTGAAACTTTGAACAACTATATATAAGATTCTAAACAAATATTCCAGTCTTGTGCCACAAATTAGAGACTTTCATTTCAAGATTGTTTCGAATTTGTACTGATTTAGTGAACATCTCTGATTACACGACAAATTTTTATAGTAAGTGAACTGCAACACATAGGAAACTTACAAATTTTCACAATTTGGCACGAAAAGTAGTCCAACTGAACATTTTCAATATATTTTAGACGTTTAACACAGCTTCTAAAACATAATAAAACATTATTTAAAATATATTGGATGAAAATCTTTTTAAAATCTTTTTCAATGACTGTTTACGACTAAAACTAATTCGAGCTGAACTTATTTATGAAAAAATTATGTTCTACAAGTATTTAATTGCTTGTTAGAAATACTTCTTTGGTTTAGTGTATCTATAAAACAAATTAATACAGTAGTTATGGGATTTGACCTTAAAAATCGAGATGGTATTTGGTTAAAAAAGGATTTCATAAGTAACCGGATATTACTTAGGTATAATTAGGTAACTTTAACTTCGAAATGATAACACAGGCCGACGATGAAAACGCTTAATTGTACTAAAAATACCGTATTCTATGTTTTGCAGAACGCTGAATCCAAATATGACACTTCTAAGCTGTATCGCAAAAAGAAATAAGCAAATAATAGCTATTAACCTAGATAAGCTTAAAGAAGAATCCACTAGTAATAAAATGCGGAAAGAAATACATAGACACTTGAGTAACAGAACAGTACAATCGACACAAACTCCCGAGGAAGAATGGCACTATATTGAGAAAACACTTACAAGTGTAACAGAAGACTACCTCAAATAAGATACACGAAAAAAGAACAAACCATGGATGACAGAAGAAACATGATGGACGAAAGAAGAAAATACAGAGGTAAAAATGAAACAACATACAAGCAAATACACAAGAATATCAGAATAAAGATCCAGCAAGTCAAAGAAACCTGGCTAAGTGAAAGATGCCAAGAAATTGAAGAGTTGGAACAAAGACATGATACTTTCAATCTACATAAAAAAGTAAAAGAAGCCGCTGGAATATTTAAACAAACTCCTACGTCTTTCATCGAAGATAAACATGGGAACCCGCTACTGAACATAGAAGATCAAATAGGTAGATGGAGAGAATACGTGGAAGAGATGTTTCAAGACCGAGAGAGGACGAACATTTACATGCAGGAGGCATCGACTGGACCTTATATCACAAAGCAAGAAATTATCAAAGCGGCAAATCAGTTAAAGAAAGGAAACGCTGTTGGGGAAGATAATATCTCAATTGAAATAATAAAGATATTACTAGACGAATACATCGAAGTAATGGAAGATATATTTAACAAAATATACGAAACAGGCATAATACCAAATGATTGGCTGACATCGGTGTTTATACCACTACCAAAGAAGAGAAACTCCAAGAAATGGAAGACCATAGGATTATTAGCCTGATGAATCATATGTTGAAGCTTTTCCTACGAGTAATACCCAATAGAGTATACAATAAACTAGACGAACACACTGGTGAAACTCAGTTTGGTTATAAGAATGGCTTCGGAACAAGAGAAGCACTTTTTTCAATACGTGTGCTAGTTGAAAGATGTAGAGATGTCGATTCTGATGTATTCTTGTGTTTTATAGACTTTCAGAAGGCGTTTGACCTGGTGAAACATGATAAACTAATAGATATTTTAAGGTCATGTAATATCGACGATAAAGACTTAAGGATCATTTCAAACCTCTACCAAGAACAAAAGGCTAAAATCAGAATAAAAAGCGAAACATCTGGAAAAATCAATATCGAGAAGGGAGTAAGACAGGAATGTGTTCTATCACCTTTGCTGTTCAATGTTTACTCTGAGAAGATATTTCAGAAAGCTTTGGTAGGCACCTCGGATGGTATAATTATAAACGGGCAATGTATAAATAACCTGCGATATGCTGATGACACTGTCATACTGGCAGATAATGCTGAAGCCCTTCAACGCTTAATGGACCGAGTAACGACAGCCTGTAGAGAATTTGGAATGAAATTGAATACAAAGAAGACAAAAAATATGGTCATCAGCAAGCACCAAAACAGAAGGATGAAGGTCAATATCGACGGAACAGATCTGGAAAGAGTAACAAGAACAACGTACCTTGGAAGTAATCTTGATGAAACTTAGGACCACTCACTAGAGATAAGAATACTCCTGGAAAAGGCACGTACAATGTTTTACAAAATGCAAAAAGTTCTATGCAACCGCCAACTGGGCATCTCATTAAGAACTAGAATACTTAAGTGCTATGTTTTCTCCACCTATGCTCTATGGTGTTGAAGATTGGACAATGACAGAAGCAACACAAAGAATCCAAGCATTCGAACTTTGGTGTTACCGTAAAATTCTCAGAATATCCTACATGAGCCATACGACAAATGCGGAAGTCTTGCGGAGGATGAATAAGGAAAGAGGGCTTATGCTTATAATAAAAGAACGGAAAACACAATATTTTGGTCACATCATAAGAAATCAAAAGTATGAACTGCTCCAACTTATAATCGAAGGCAAAGTCAATAGCAAAAGAGGACCAGGAAGAAGACGCAACTCTTGGCTTAAAAACCTACGGCAATGGACGAACATGACCTCCATAGAACTATTCAGGGCTGCTACAAATAAGATTAAATGGGCAAATGTAATGGCCAACGTCCTTAAGGATAAGGCACCGTAAGAAGAAGAAGCTGTATCGCCTACCATTTCTTTATATTTTATAATTTATTTATTTAACCGATGTTTGTACCGATTTGTATTAGTTAGAGATCAGAATTACCATATGATTCACACAGCCTTGTTGACTAATATCATTTATTACAGCCATGTGACTTTGACTATCGTTTATTACAGACTTTGTCTAATAACCTACTGGATAAAGGACGTACAATTTAAGTTGGAACATTATTTGAAACTCTGAGAAACAACCGAAAATTAAATCTGTAACAATAAAAGAAAAGACAAACAGTTGCAGCTGGAACTAATACAGAAGTAGTGATTTAAAAATGAAAGACAAACGCAAGTACAAAACACTCTGCCCAACTTATGTTTCATGAACATTTACATGTAATTTTGTGAGAATGGTTTTTAAAGATTAAAATAAGAATCTCCTGGCCGAAAATAATATTTTTTATTTACACGAGTGTATTTTTAAGTCATATGGTTTAAAATAATTGTATAAAAATGGTTGGAACATGCAGTGCATTTGGTTGTACTACAAGAAATTATAACTCAGATCTTTTGAACTCAGATCTCAATCATGTATGTGAAAATGAAAGAATAGATGGATGAATGGATATCCTAGATCCTTGTTAATATAATTATGCACATAAGTACTTATATATGTAGTAATTAATTGAATAAACACTTTCAGATGATTGATAAAAAGGGACACTTTAGTTCAGACCCTTAACATGGCTGGTAGCTCGGAACAATTGAAAATGGTACCAGGCAAATACCGAAAACTTCGTGGATAAGCTGGATTAAAAATAAAGAAGTTTGAACGCGAATGAACAAAGAGAAATGTACTTAACTGCAAAAATGTTATTTCCACATCAACTACACAAATAACCGTTAAAACAATCTTACTAAAAGCCAATAACCGAAATATATAAGAACTGCTAGAGGAAGCAACGAGGAATATGGTGCAAAGACATTATTTTTAACTGCACAGATTTTGGAACTTCTTTGGAATTTTAATGAAAAAAAAAAACGGATGAATTACATCTTAAACACAAATTTTACAGTACTACAATGTTATCGCCCTGTTTTCTGTATTAGTTTTGCCTAAATAAACCTGGTCAAATCGGAGAGAACTCCATTTTAAATAAATTCTGTTTAAACTATTCATCAATTAAACCTTATTTAAAAGCGTCAATAAACAGTAAAATTATCTGTACTATTAATAATTAACAGTCATTAAAAAAGAATTCAATTTTCACACCTGATAGTCGTAACTAATTTAAAACAGTGAATTACGACCATCACTAAAAGCTCGTTGAATAATAAACAATCATAAATTCGGTAAATGTGTAGTTACACGCACCGGTTACGGACAGTTTTCAAATCATACAATGTGCCGCGATGTTGCCAATTTCACCTTTATGTCGTAGCTTACACGACAAAATATATTGTGAATTTTTTTTTAAACATAAAGTGTCCAAAAGTTTATGAAAAACATCGTGTACTATTCGTGGAGATTCAATAGCAATGGGAACTATTACTGTAACTGTGTATGTAAAATGCATTCTTTAAACTCATCAGTTCTACGTTACCTTGCAATCTAAAAAAGTTGCTGCAGTGATAAAAAAAAAAGATCTACCCCAAGAAAGTGTATTGAACAACTTACCGAGCAAGCCTGGGTCGAGACGCTTTATCTTTGCAAATAATATGGTATTGGCTGTTCAAGGAAAATGTTTCTGAGAAGTAGAAAACGAATACTTGCCAGAGGCACTGAAGAATTAACGGAGTAATATAACAATCACTTTTTAAAACCTAAATATGTGCTTACGACCTAAACAACCAGCATACTGGGAAAAATTTGAAGCTAACATGATTTGGTGAGATATTAGATCATTGCAAAGGACGAAAATATCTCAGGTTACGGGCTGGAGCGAGTTCTCATATATTTAAAAACCACTGTCAAGATACAAAAGCCAAAATTTCCTTCGGAAAAATAAACATAATTCAAAAGATAACTGGAACACATTGATATTATCTGTATTAAGGATAGCCGGGCTTTGTGCTTGTCTACAGAGTAATAAGCAGCTCCAGTTTGATAGCGCTCTGCCCACACTTGCCACGTTGATCACACTATTAATGCGATTATCTGAACGGTTGGTTGTTTAAAACCTACTCCAGTCTCTAAGATAAACCCTATAATAGGAATTGCTTCTCCAAACATCAGAAGAGCAGTGGTTTCTGAAATTGTAAAGATGAAAGTGGACAACTCCATCCTATGTTTGTCATTAATAAACAAAATATGTAACGAGACTGAAACCTTGCAAAGTTTCATGAGTGCTACGACTTCAATTAAAACCACAACGTCAAAGAGAAACAGTCTGTTGGTGTCCTAGATTCTAAAGAACGGGTTACCACTTACCTTACACCGTATGGGCAGCCCTTAATAAGGTCAAAACCAACACGTCACGATACAAGTCATGGGTAAATTTAAAGGATAACAGATGTGCTGTGGCGAAATACAGAAATCTAAGCATATATTGGTTTGTACGTACACGAGATAAGAATGCTCTCTCCTTGGCTTAATGGCAGCCAATAAAAAGACCTCTAAAGTGATTGGGTATTGGCAGTGATTCAATAGTTTGCGAGAACTGTAAAAATTCAAAACTCAACTCTTCCGCGATCTCTTAAGATGTGAAGAAATGATCGAAGAATTAAGATCTTCGGTTAGCCAAAATCTATCATTATCTATTCGCAATAGAAGTCAAGCACTAATTTTGAAGACAGGCTTACATGTAAAACCCTATGGACTTCAGTTTGTTTAAGGCCTAAAGGACACTCTAATCGATTAAAATTTGCAGTTTTAATGGATTTTAAAAGTAAATGGACCTCTATAGGTCCATTTACTTAGCGACGACTAGCGATATTAACATAAGCGACAAAGACAAGATTGATTGAATTCAATCAAGCAGAATTGTCGCTACTGGGTAGAGAAAAATACAAATCAAAAACATCAGCGACCATTCCATAGCCCAAACATGATAGTCTTTGTTGCAATTGCTTTGTTGATGTGAATAATAAAAGTAACATCGAAATGCTAGGACTTTTTGGCCCAATAGTTTCAAGAATAAAACTCAAAATATGGTTCCAACAAGACCGGGCATGGTTTAGACATCAATTGCTACAGTAAACGAATTATCCCCAATTCTCATAAAGGCGCCATTAATTGACCTCTCAGAAGACCTTTACTATTTTCTATGGGAATACCTGAAAGGTCAAGTGTAAGAGAACATATCGACGACTTTGAAGCAAAATATAATATCCAAAATAGCAACAATCTAGCCAGTAAGGTGTCTATGCGTTATTATCAATGAGAAGTGCCAGCAGTGTTGGTCTATGTTGACCAACTGTGAACGTAGAACAAAGGCTCACTAGGCCACGGTCTACAGATTGGGAAATAGCCACAGTAATCACAAGACCAAACAGAATTAGATAGACTAAAAATAAATTTCGGCCATATAAGCCTCCAGGGACAGATGGCTTATATCCAATATTGTTGCATATGGGATTAGAGGCATTGATACCACACCTATGCAAGCTCCTCAAAGCCAGTTTAGCATGGGGGTCGTACCAGAAAATGGCAAAAGGTTAAAGTCATATACTTGCCTGAGGTAGGTAAAGTATCAGATCTAACACAAAGTCATATAGATCGATAAGCCCATCTTCTTTTCTATTAAAAACGCTGGAAAGGCTTCGTGATAGGTACATCAGAGACGAAGTGCTAAAAGATAATCCTCTAAGCAATCATGAATATGTATACCAAACTGGTAAATATACGGACTCTGCGTTTAATGATCTAAATAGGCTTATCTTAAAGTCAATGGAAGACAAAGAAATAGCAATGGCCGCTTTTTTAGATATAGAAGGAGCAATTAATAATATTACTACCAGCTTTTTGATAAGAGCTATGAGTAGACGAGGCACACCTGCGGTAATATGCAGATGGATAAAAGTTGGTTGCTTTACCCAGAGCGGACAGTAATATCCACTCTGAGCAAAGCAACCATCAAAGCAAAAGTAGGTGGAGGCTGTCCACAAGGAGGAGTTCAGTCACCTCTACTTTCGGCAACCTTGGTAGATGATCTCCTCAGAAATCTGTCCACAGAAGGCTTTTGTTGTCTAGGATATGCTGGACAAAAAAAACAGGCGAAACAGTTCATTACAGAACATTCGCCAAAATTTACGGCAGATCTAATAAGCAAAGACAGGAAAACAGTCAAAGCCATCTTGTAGGTCTTCAAACAGGGCACTGTAAGCTGAATAGGCACTTAAAGCTGATGGGATTATCAGATGATGACCTGTGCAGATTCTGTCACCTCGAAGAAGAAACAGCAGAGCACATTTTATATCAGTGTGACAGTCTGGCAAATGTGTGGTTCTTTGCATTAGGATAAGAAAATCCATCGGCAAATAGCTATATGGAAGATACAGTCTCGAACCACAATAGATCTGTAAAGGTCGTAGTGGAATGGGCCAAAAGGCCGCCACTCAAAATCTATCTATCTATCTAGCCAGCAGTGTGATGGCCAGCATGTCGAACATATTATTTTGTCTAATAATGAATCCGATATTTGTAAATAAAACATAAATAAGCTATTTGACTATTAATATTCTGTATTTTATTCAGCTACCAAATCTCCGATATCCTCGTTGGACAACCTATATTTAGTAATTGCAATATTTTTTAAAAATTATAGTCAAACATTGTATTTTTATAGGAGATGCAATAACATAATAAACAAAATCAAAAAGCAAAGTAAATTTTAAATATTTTTTTTTTAATAAGTCCTTAACGGTAAAATATTGCGGTATTGGCAACTCCGCACTGTCATTTATAAAAATTCGAACCGGTTCACGATTTGAAGACCTCAACTACACATTTACCCAAAAGTTCACGTTCTTTATCACAATATGGATTTAACATACTCAATTGTACAGATTCCACAGACTTATAACTCCATCGCCACCGCATGCAGCCATGATATTGGACTTCCAGTAGTTTACGGGATGAGGAGAATATTGTATATCCGTTATAGTGGTTTTGTGCTCCGCCAAGACTGCCAATATCCTCAACGTCCTCCAAGAAAAAACTCTTAGACGCCCGTCCCATCCGCCGGATACTAAAACTTTGCCGTCGGGTCGTAATTTAACGATATTACATCCCTACAAATATTTTAATTATAAAATCATTTATAGCCTGAACTTATGAGTTTGTTCATATTGTTTATTGTTGACTACCTAAGGAAACAAAAACACATACCTCATTTGTGATGGAAACTTCTGCTTTCAATGCCATTTGGTAGGAAGAGTCTATGGTGAACACTTGCAGCATGTTAGACGCCGCTCCACACACGGCACGCTTGGTATAAGGATCAAAAGTTAGTGAGGTAAGATGTTCTTGAAGTTTGATGTGCCCACAAGGCTGGAATGTGTTCAGATCCCATAATACAACATCACCTAGAAAATTTTTATTTATTTAAGTTCACGTCAGGTGAAGATTGACGTCGTAGTGTTTTTTCAATCTCTTATTTTATTGCTCCTATCATGTTACTTAATCATCATCACAGTCATTAACATCTTAGTAGATGTGTTGTGGTTCATAATTGGGCTTCAGCAGCTCGGACAGTTTGATTGATAATATTTCTCCACTGTTCGCGGTCATCAGTTATATGTATTGCCTCAGTATACTGTTTATTGAGAAGCTTTTTAGTAATGTCCGCCCATCGCTGTGGAGATCTTCCGCGTTGGCGTTGAGTCTGAGGCCTTCCTTGGACCACCAACCGCTCCATTTTGTGATCACTTCGATGGATAGGGCCAAAGAACTTTAAAATTCTAGAGTAAACGGTACTGGAGAGACGCTGATCCGGTTTAATTTCATCCAGAACCGAGATATTTGTACGGCGAGCCGTCCATGGAATTCAAAGCAGGCGTCTCCATGTCCACATTTCAAAGGCGTCTATACGTCGTCGATCTGATTCTTTGACTGTCCATGTCTCGCATGCATAGTAAAATATGGAAAAGACCAGAGTTGAAACGAGTCTCTTTTTGTTTGTCATAGTAATGTGACGATCACGCCAGACCCCGTTTAGTTCACTCATTGCTGCTCTTGCTAGTTGAATGCGTCTTCTAATTTCGGATTCACAACTGCCTGTGTTGTTAACTAGAGCTCCAAGATATATCATAGATGAGACTACCTCGCATCCCGCAATAGTTTGGGATTCAGGAAACTGTTGTTGGCGATCAATAACCATGATTTTGGTTTTGTTGTAGTTAACCATGAGTCCAAATTTAGCACTTTCTACCTCGAGTTTTTTTAATAATTTAATAATTTCTTCTGGAGTAGAGGCTAGAAGTGTGGTGTCGTCTGCGAAACGCAAGTTAGATATCTTAACACCACCTAGGTTTACTCCTCCCTCCCAACCATCCAAAACTCTGCGCATTATAAACTCCGAATAGATATTAAATAATAAGGGAGATAAAAACGCATCCTTGGCGTACTCCCTTCTCCAAAGTGCATTTGTCAGACAGATATCCGTCCATTCGAATATATGCCAGGTTATCTTGATACAGTTTGCTAATAAGGTGAGTCAAGTGTTTAGGTACACCCATTGTCGTCAATATGTTCCATAGTTTGTCCCATCTAACATTATCAAAGGCCTTTGTATAATCGACGAAACATATAAATATCGGGATCTGGTATTCTCTGGCTTTTTCTATGATGTTTAGTACATTAAGGATTTGTTCTCTAGTACCTCTGCCCTTTACAAATCCAGCCTGCTCAGGTGCTATTTGCCAACTTATGAAGTTTTCTAGACGCCGTTGCAGTATGTAGAGGATCACCTTACTGGCGTGTGATATTAGAACTAATAGCCTGTAGTTGTTACAATTATTTGTTGAACCTTTTTTATGAAGAGGTATGATTATGGTCTTTCTCCAATCCTCAGGCCAGACGCCTGTGTGCCATATTTCATTGCACAATCGATGTAATATTTTCACTCCACATTCCGGAAGATGCTCCAAGACGTCTGCAGTAATGAGATCATATCCTGCTGCTTTGTTTAACTTAAGTCTTTTTAAAGCAAATTCCACCTCGGAAAAAAGTATGTCAGGTTCAGACTCAAAACTAGTGTGGTGTGTCTCTGTTGAAGGAGAATGGAAAGTGGAGGTCTGGCAGTCAGGTACAAACGGGGCGTCCGCTGGCATCTGGTCCGTATTGCCGTATAAAGACTTACAATACGCCCTCCAAACATCAATAACCTTGTCCAAATCCGTCTGTACATTACCTTCATCATCTTTGATAGACCAAGATTTCTGCTTAAATTTACGTGTGAGTTGTCTGACTTTATCAAAGTCTTACTGTTACTTTATTTTGATGAATATTACTGATAACTATGGTATAATAAGGAAGTAATACAATGGATATGCAAGCAGTTGACTACCCTGTTATTCCTTTTAATCATTTAATATTCCATTCACTACATAAATAGTTAATATCCTTTGTAATATGCAGATGAGTTGCTCATGCTTAAAATGGGTATGGCAAACTAAGAGGAAACAGTTAAAGTACTAATATTTAATAAAAAAAATACCTGTTTCATAGGCAGCCATAACACAACAACTATTTCCAATGGTGACTTCTTGCAAAGCCATAACTTGTCCTAGATTCTCTCTCCCTGGATTGAGCTGTTTTATTTTGGTCAAATCAGTTACTTGTAAAACATCTACACAGCTATTTTCCTGAGGTACAATCAGTGCTTCGTTTATTAAAATACTTTTACAAAAACCTATACCACATGTTGTCTCTTTCTCGACTTCATAGGAACTTTTTCTTACAGACCATAGCTTTACAGAGCCTTCTTTCTCTTGAGTCAAAACTTTGTAGTCAAATGTGTGTATTGCTTGGATGGATTTTCCCATAGCCTGTTTATGGTGTAAACGATTGGTCTAAAATAAATAAACTATATTGCATATACAGGATCTGCTGTTGTTTGATGGAATTTCAACAATGAAACAATTATGCAAAAGCATTACTGAACAAAATAATAAAAGTAGTTAATAATAATAGTTTGATATGGACTAAACCACTATTAAGAACAGTTTTATAAGAAACTGACTAGAAACGTTTTTAAGACTATTGTTACGAACATGCTTTCGACATGGCCTATGTAACGGTTGCATCTCGAAAAGGCGCCGAGAAACTTCGCGATGTATCGAGTGCGAGAAGGAACATTCCGTCACGCAGGCGAATTAGAGGTGGGAATATTCTAGAACATAGTAACTTTGGTATATATATGTAACGATGTTAGGAGTAAGTTTTAGTTGATAAGAGAGTACCGAACTGTAAAGTTATAAATAAATATATTTATGTAAATTCGAACCGCTCGTTTTATTTAATCTCGCTACAGTTGGTGTCCGGTGTGAGATTTGAAAATAAATTCAGCAGTGTATTTTTGAAAAAGACTTTTGAACTTGTGAAAAGTATTGTTCGTCGGGAACATCCACATAGTTCAGTAGTGAAGTTTGTATGAAATGACATTTAAAAAAGTACGTGTGTGCCTGACCAAATATGCTTCTAGTAGAACTTTCAGTAAAACAGTTGCGTGAGCAACTAGAAGAGCGCGATGAAGACTGCAGCGGGTCCAAGAAGATACTCTAAGAACGACTGAAGACTATTCTCAACAAGAATAGAGAAGACCCAGAGACATTCCAGTTCCAGTCAGCAGAAGAAGCAGTTTTAACGAAAATAAAAAATGTTTCGCAAATGATTGAAGAATCTTGTAAAAAAACTGATGAAAGATTCGACGAAACGTCTCAAATTATTAAAGAAACAGATAGACAAAACGACGAGAAACTCGAAAATGTGTCTAGAATAATGAGAAATTTGAAGAAGTTTCCAAAACATTCGATAAAGTAGAAGAGAAGATCAAATAGTTAGAGAGCATGACAACCAATACAAAAGTGCTACAGTGCATCATTTAATACAGTAGTCTTAGATCCGGTAGTGAAAGAAGAATCACCGAGAGACAAAACGACACATCATATGAGATTCAAATTGCCACCATTTGATGGAAAGTCCTCTTGGTCCATATACCTTAAACAATTTGAAGCTATTGCGACAGCCAATCATTGGACAAAACAAGAAAAAGCTGTTTCCCTAACTGTTGCTTTACGAGGTGATGCTGCGGATATCCTAAGATCGATTCCTAAGGGTCAAGAAAAATGTTACCAGACCCTGTTCACTCAACTAGACAAACGTTACGTTGATGTCCATCTACAACAAGTGTACAAGGCGCAACTAAGAAGTAGAGTTCGACGAGCAAGTGAAAATTTGCAAGAGTTTGAAGCAGATGTTGCTCATATAGTGCGGTTGGCTTATCCGGAGATACCAAACAACATTTTGAAAGAAATTGCTGTAGATACGTTCGTCAATGGGTTAAAAGAAAGTGAATTACAGAAAGCTTTACGACTAGCAAGAGCGAAAGTTCTAGATGAAGCGCTCGCTATTGCTTTGGAACATGAAACAGCTAGTCAAGCTTCACGAAGCCATCGAGTAAGAACCATTGAAGAAGACGACGAACCAAACGATGAACGTCTGGAAGAAATGGTACGAAAAGTAGTTCATAACACGATGCCAAAAAGATGCGAGCCCAGATGTTGGAATTGTGGTGATGTAGGTCACATTCGCCGTAATTGCAAGAAAAAAATACAATAGTCGAAAAACTAGAACGGGTCGACACCAAGGGGCAACTGCCGACCTCGAGAAACACAGCCCCCATAGTAACTGTGAACATTACGTCCTCCGGTGGAATTCATAGCTTGTACATTGAGGGTCGTATCAATAATAAATGTAGATCGTTTTTGGTAGATACAGGAGCAACAAGAACTATTGCACGGCCAGAAGTAGTACGAGATCATCTTAAATTATCGCCTGCAACAGTAAAGCTTAGAACAGCAATTGGGAGATAATTAATACATATGGCCAGGCTAATATGTCAGTATCCATTGGCCAGACCGCAGTAAAACATAGAGTATTAATTGAAGAGATCTTTGACAAGTTCATATTGGGGATGGATTTACTAATGAAAGTTTGGGCTGTTTTGAATGTCAAAGATGGAGTTCTCAAGATCAGTGGTGAAGAGCTGCCGTTTCATGAAGACAAAGAAGATGTTATCAGCTTAATAACTACTTGTGAAGTAACAATACCCGGTAATAGTGAGAAAATTTTGATGAGCAGACCTCATGGTTACTGCCGAGAGGGAAGTTTAAGGATGGTCGAAGATGTGAACAATGCCGAGTTCCTAACGGCAAAAGCTTTGGTGAGAATTCGAGATGTCGTTCAAGTAGGAGTTATGAATTTAAAAGGAACTGCTATTAAGTTAAGTAAAAGACTTTTGATCCAACAGTGTGTTCCCGTGGCTTGATGATGAATGAACTAAAAAAGTGAAGTCTATGCTCATAGAATTTCAAGATGTTTTTGAAATTGATAGGAAGGATAATGGCAAAACAAGCATAGTAAAGCATAAAATTAATACCAGAGACGCTCAGCCAATCAGACAACTACCTAAAAGACTTCCATTTGCGAAAAGAGATGAAGCCAAAGACATCATCAAAGATATGAACAAACAAGGGGTAATTGAACCATCAAACAGTCCATGGACATCACCAGTAGTGCTAGTAAAGAAGAAAGATGGTTTAACACGTTTGTGTATTGACTACCTACAGCTCAATGAGGTAACTAAAAAAGATAGTTGCCCTTTGCCCAGAATAGACGATACTTTGGATACACTTTCTGGTTTTCGTTGGTTCTCCACACTCAATCTGAAAAGTGGATATTGGCAAGTAGACATGGAGCCAGCTGATCGTGAGAAAACAGCATTCTCGATAGGATCAGGACTTTGGCAGTTCACAGTTATGCCCTTTGGTTTATGTAATGTAATTCTTGGCAGAATTGGATCATAAAACTATAAGTAAAAAAGGGTACTACATTTTATTGTGTTTCCTAATTTTCAATAAGCAAATTCCTGACGAAAAGTCATTTTTACAAATTTTTTTGCAATTTTTTTATATGCTGAAATTTTTTCTAGTAGGTACACAAGCATACTTTGATAATTTCACTGCGATTATATCCATTTTTCACATAGATATACTTAATATTTTTCGAGATAATTATGAAAAAAAAAATGTAATATTGATTTTTTATCCCAAACATTTCCAATTGTTGTACTAATTTTTCGAAATACTAATATCAAATATTAATTAGTTAAAGCTGGGAGACATTTCCCTCAAAATCTGTTGTGGTTCACTATAGTAAATAGAATCAAAATCTTATCTAGGGATAAAATCATAAAATCTTCTGAGACTCTTACTTTTCAAACTTTAAAACACCTTTGTCATTAACGTTATTGTAAATCATGATGAAGACAGGAAAAAAAACTAATGTTACTATTCCAGCAAAGTAAATATTTTACTTAGTTTACTCCCAATATTGACAAAAAAATTTTACTTTGTATTATAATACTTCAGACAAACTACTTGATTTATTGATGCTTTAGATGGAGAAGAGATTGGACCAATTAAAAAAAACAAAATGCAAATGCTCCGTTCTTTAAAGAGGATTCCACCTATTGAAAAAATATATGGATCCTATAATTGAATTGAAAAATTAGTTTCTATACTAATGACTTTTTCCCCACAATATTGATGTGGTTGAAATTAAACAAAACTTTTTGTATTTCAATAAAAACAATGTATTCTGTTTGAGATTAAAAAAATATTTATTTAAAACTACTGATTTAATGAACTGATTGACCATTTTAAACCAAATTTATTTTAGAATGCTGCGTAGATAAGAGATGTTTACTAAAAAAAATTGCGCAGTCAAATTTTTTTCCAGTATATTTAAGATTCTAGATCTCCTATCACATCTGATAACAGAACCCCCTTTTTAATGTAAATTGATACTGATTTCTTACCTCTAAGTCCCAGAAATAAACGCCGCCTTTTTCGGTTCCAGCTAAGACATGTGATACAAAATTTTCCCCCCGAACGCAAAAATTCAAACTGTGGATTTGCCCCATATCTTCCTTGAAGCAGAATACTGGGTCAGGTGGTAAAACTGCCATTTTTTTAAATTGTGTCACTTGCTATTTGGGAGCCTCGTTCATAAATGAAACAATTTCAAAAGCAAATTACAAAATTTAATAAAAATGGAATGAAAAAACTGGGGCCTAAACAAAAAGTTAACCTAACCCACATTTGTTTTGGTTTTTCATTAATTCTCTTTCTTTGTCTGATTTCGGTTATCGCAGCCCAGCCGCATTTTGTTAATTTTTTGTTAGAGGTGCGTTGTGTGAATAATATCGTATTGGTTATTTTGGAACGGAAGCTACAAAGGTTAATTAATGCACCTTACAATGTTTTATGGTGTTCTGGATCCGGCGTTTCCTTATAGAAACTTGACACCCAAGCTATGAAACATGAGTCAACGTTTGCCGCGGGTAATCTAAATATCACCGGATCCTTTCAGAATTGCCAGTTTTATGTGAATTCTAAATAATGTTTTGAAATGTGAAATAAAGATGTTTCTAATAAGTTATCTTTTTGTTTGTATAAAGTACACTGTATGCCTATGCGTGTCTTTCGTTAACAAAATGTCTACACTATTACAAAGAAATTTTTTATGTTAAGTTATTTTCTTGGTCATTTCATGATCATTTATATGCTCAACATCAGTGAAGTCATCAACATCAGTGCCGGAACGCACTTTCCTTCATCATCATCAGCCCATAGTCGTCCACTGCTAAACATAGGCCTCCTCGAAAAACCTCCATTCAGATCTATCTTGCACTGCTGCAATCCAGTTGGTACAAATCCTCTATGTCATCAGTCCATCTTGTGGGGTTCCCGGGTTTCGTCTATCCGCTCTCAGTCTCCACTCCAAGATTTTATTGGTCCACCAAAGTTTTTTACAAGTACTTTTTTACAAGTAAAATATTTTAATACAAGTTACGTCTGCATATTTTGAAATGTATATGCATTGGTTTAATTCAAAAATATTTAAATTCTGCAATCGTTGTTTTTTTATTTTATTTTAATTGTGAGAAAAGAAGACAACATAGCCTATTTTAAATGTTTTAGAGATAGGCCTTCGTGCTTATGCCCTTATAGATACTGGTAGCTCTGCCAGTTTTGACTTTGTTAGACTTTGCTAACCTGTGCAAACTCCCTAAGAAGCCTTGTACTCAGACTGTTTCTATGGCCTCATTATCACACACCTCTGAGGTTAAAGATGTGACTACTCAAAATATTAAAATTGGTGATCACTCGTACGACAATATTAATTTACTTATAGTTAAAAATCTTTGTGCTGATATTATATAATTGGTCATGATGTTCTATCTAACCACTCAAGTCTATAGTTTGAATTTGGAGGACCTAAAGAAGTATTCAAAGGTATGTAGTGTAGTTGAAGCCTCAGTACCTGCAGATCCTTTATTTTGTAACCTGACTTCAAATTGTAAACCTATCGCAGTAAAATTGCGCAGGTATAGTGCTCAAGATCAGATTTTTATTAAAAATGAGAAAAAGAAGCTTTTAAATGATGGAATTATTGAAGAAAGTCAGTCCCCTTAGAGAGCGCAAGTGCTTATCACCAAAAACGAAACTTACAAGAAGCGGCTTGTCATTGATTAGTATCAATTAATCGATTCATTTAACTTGATGCCTATCCACTGGCAAATATCGAGGAAATGGTGTCTAATGTATCACAATTCACGGTCTTTAGTGCAATAGATTTCCTAAGTGCATACCATCAGGTTCTAATACTTACACATGAAAAGATGTACACTGCTTTTGAAGCCACTGGGAAACTGTATCAATTTTGTCGCATTCCGTTTGGTGTTACCAATGGTGTAGCCAGTTTCCAAAGAACAATCGACTGGCTCATACGCACAGAAAACCTTTAAGAGATATATTACTACCTTGATAATATAACTGTTTGTGGTAAGACGAAGGTAAAACATGACAAAAATCTTGAGAACTTTCTGAAGGCCATAGACAAATATGACTTGACACTAAACAAAACCAAGAGCAAATTCAATCAAACGGTAATAAACTTACTTGGTTATACTATAGGACCAAACCATGTCATAAAGCCCGATGCTAGCAGACTACAACCCTTATTAACATGCCTCCACCGAATGACACTACATCTCTCAGAAGGGTATTAGGTATGTTTGCCCATTATTTAAAATGGATTCCCAAATTTTCCGGAAGGGTCCACACATTAGCGAATGTCAACAATTTTCCATTGAACGAAGATGCTTTATCTTGTTTTGAAAATCTGAAATCTATAGTTGCAAAGTCATCTGTTCACGCTATCAACGAAAATATGCCATTTGTTGTTGAAACTGATGCTTCAGAACACTCAATTGCTGCGACATTGAGTCAGGATTCCAGACCCGTTGCTTTCTTTTCAAGATCACTTAACTTTAGTGAGCTGAACCATTCTGCTGTGGAGAAAGAAGCATACGCTATTGTTGAATATCTAAAGAAGTGGCGCCATTTTCTTATAGGAAAGCCTTTCACAACCATTACTGATCAAAAGTCTGTAATATTTATGTTCAACACGAAGCATTCGAGCAAGATTAAAAAAGAGAAAATACAAAGATGGCGACTTGAATTGGCACCTTATAAATATGACATTGTGTATCGACCAGGAAAAGACAACCAAGCAGCGGATGCTTTATCGCGCATCTGCTCTTGTGCTACTACCACGGCGGAAGGTGCATCAAAACTCAAGTCACTTCACACGGCACATTGTCATCCAGGGGTAACACGTATATTTCATTGAATAAAATCGAAAAACTTGCTTTTCTCTTTCAATGAAGTCAAGACTATGACTCGTGACTGTGGGGTATGTGCTAAAATAAAGCCGAGGTACTTTAAGAATGAGGGGCTTTTTCCAAAGCTTATAAAAGCCACATCTCCCTTCGAACGCCTTAGTATTGACTTTAAAGGACCAGTGCCTTCGAATACTAATAATCGTTATATTCTTACGGTAATAGATGAGTATTCCAGATTCCCATTTCCTTTTCAATGCAGTGACATTAGTGCCAAAACAGTAATCAATAATTTAAATAACCTATTCATGATGTTTGGAATACCTGCATACATTCATTCGGATAAAGGGACTCAATTTCTATCAGCTGAAGTCAAACAGTTTCTCAACTCCAGAGGAATCGCAACAAGTAGAACTACTGCTTATAATCCTCAAGGAAATAAGTGGAGAAGTTGAATTCTACTGTCTGGAAAGGTATTCAACTGGCCTGTGAATCACATGAAGCACCTATTGAGACGTGGGAACAATACCTTCCTGTCGGTCTCCAAATGGAAATACAATACCGTCATGGCTAGCAAAATCTGGGCATGTCTTGATGAAAAGGTTTTATCGGAAAAACAAATACCAGCCTATCGTAGAGGAAGTGGAAGTAATAAAGGCAAATCCTGAATACTCTTTTGTTAAACTGAAAGACGGACGGGAGACCACAGTGTCTAATCGTCATCTGTCTCCGAGTGGACGAGGTGAAGGAGAAATACTAGATATACCAGTTCAAGAATCAGTGATCGTAGAAGACCCACATGAGTTACATTCGAATCTTAATGATTCCTCATCCAATACAACCACGCAAAACATGCAGCTTCTGGCAGATACATCTACATCCCCCCTCCACTGGATTCATTACTTCTTGAAGAACCCCTAATGAGTTCTAAACAGAGCGTATCGCCTTCTTTAGCACTACCTAGAAGATCTCGAAAGAATTCGTCATTTACCACGGTATTTGGAAGATTACAGTGTGGGAGAATGATGTGATATTAACCTCCTTGGTATTCGGCGCGTTCCGACACCATACCACTGCTCAACATACAGTTTTTTATATTACTTTTAGTTTACTGCTAGGAATAAATGTACAGTTTTTATTTTTAAATGTTTACTATTAATCAAAATGGTTAGGCCAAATATTTTTTGAATCCCAATTTTCCACCCTTATTTTGTTGTTGTTGTTGTGAGACAGTGTTTTTGTTGTCGTGAAACAGTTCTTTAATATTTTTTAGTCCAACTCTATTATTAACATAGCCCTTGGCAAAACTGTCAAAATTGGTAACCCCTGATATGAAATTAATTGTCAAAATAAAAGACAATATTATTTGATTTTAAAAATTTAATTTTTTGAATTAGGAAATAAAACAGCAGAGGAACATGATTATTTAGGTATCATTAATAAAACTATTTCAGTTTAGTTATTAACCTCCCTACATGCAAAGAAAATCGAATATCTTTAGATAAATAGATTTGTCTGTTTAAAAAAATCTATTTCGTTAAATCGTAGAATAACGATAACATCTAACAAAAAAGTAAACAGTATGCTCAAAACAAACTGTTTTCAACTATTTTAAAAACAAAAAAAAATCTATTTGACAACTGAAGTTTCATCTGTTTAGCGTTTTGTGTTCTGCTGCAGGTGGTTCCGTGCTTTTTTATAATTTTTAGTTGAAAATGGCGATGTTGAACAACAATATTTGTTGATAGCGATATAAACACAGAAGTCTCGCATTTCGGTTGTCAGTCCATTTATTTTAATGGCCCGCACAAAAAAGTAGTGATGATCATCTCCACTACAAAGTTTAATTCAGCTTTGTTGTTGATAAGGTAAGCGAGAAAAAATAGATTTGTTCCAGTTTTTTGTTTAAAATTAGGCTACTCATCCGTCGTTACTGTTATATAAGAAGAATTTAATTACTGTATTCTTATTTTAATTGCCCATTCTTTACTCTTTTGTTTGATGTGTGCTGTAGAAAAAAGTGGAACAGTGGAGCTTCATAATCACCAGTGCAAATATGAAATAGACAGCTAAATTGAATTTGCTATTAGTGATACTTTCTTCGCCTACTATTTGTGCGAGTTTGTTTATTATTTTTATATGAACAATCAGAAACTGTTATTGTGTGTAGTTGCAATGGATATAGGGTTCATTTAACCATTATAATGATTCATTAGGCCTTATTTTATGGTAGAAGTGTGTTTTGGAAAGCTGAGGATATTGTGAGTTGATGTACAATTACCATGGATGTACAATTATTTATAATACATTAGGCAAGTATTTTGTACTTCACTCAGCATTGTACCAATTCTGTATTGCTATTATTATACTGTTCAATAATATATTCCAATCTTTTGGAAATATATGATTTTTGA